GGCCAAGGAAGAAGAAAATTCATCTTCAGCTTATGGCTCTTCTTCTGAGTTTTACTGTACGACATCAATTAATGTCCAACCCTACACACCTGAATGAAAAAGTAAAACACCGAGCAGACTGCATATGAGTGTCACAGTGTCTTTACCATAAAATAAATGTGAGGAAACCTAAGAAGATCCCCAAACCCGTGGTGAATAATCTATGTTCAGTGCTGATCAGTGAATCTGAGGAATTGGTTATCTAGGGGTGGGTTCCTCTCTCTGGGCTGCAGGGTCAGGGAAGGGCTAGCTTTCATGAGTTCAGAGAAGTGATATTTACATGTGTTCTTGCAATTGATATTGCAAGCTATAGATTTGGACACCTGACAGGAGGACGTGCTCAGAGAAGATATAAGAGACCATAGACAATGAAGACAGTTATAGAATATGAGACAGTATAGTAATATCAGAGTCATATTTTCTTTGTTAAGGATTCACCACCCTGCATTTTGCTTTACCTTATGCATGTCCATAGAACTTGCTCTTGTATATTTATTTTTTCTATTTTGTATGTAACTGAAATAAGAAAGTGCTCCACACATTTGTGATTCAACATAGGACATCAGTCTTTCCCTTTGTCTTGTCTGGACAGGGGTTCTTCCTGATACTGTTCTTGCACAAGGTCACACCTGCCTTGTGAGGTTAGCATAACTCCATCTCTATGATGAGATCACTTGGGACATTTCTGTATTTTACTTATTCATGAGACAACACTGTCCTCAGGCCTTATAAAAGCTTGCAAAGGAAACAGTCTAAGTCAATGTCTTTCCATTGCTTAGTGTTTGCTCTAGAGACATATTTCTATTTGCAGGACACTGACTTTGCTTTTTATCCAGTTCTCCTATCATCCCTGGAACTTCACAAATCTCCTTGACTATCCTTACACCAGGCACATTATGACTGTCTCTATATTATATAAGCCTAATTTTCATTTTCCTGAATGAAGATAGTTAGCATAACTGGGTCTGTGCAATAACTCTTAGTATGACCTTGTATATATTTAATACAGTTCCTCTTTTCCTTCCTACACATACTCCTTTTCTCACCACAGCCCACTTGTGTGCACACATCAACAACATTCCCTGCATTTTGTCCTCTTTGTCCCAGACTTAAGATGCCATTCCATACTAGAATTCCCTTACCACTCTATAACTTACAAAATAGAAGCCAAAATACCCAATACATGCAATATAGTTTTTGAACATGACTAAAGGAAGGGCTTGTGCATCAGAATATTTGTTACATCACTTCGTATAAAGATTTCCAGCTCATTCATGTTCTTCCAAGGCTAAGAAATCTGGATGTTTTCTGGGTATGTCATGGGAATCACAATCATAAACACGTTATGGATGTTTTATCTTTATAAATTAAGCTAAAACCAAGACAGCCAAAAATCTAATATAGATTTCTAGACTATTTCCAGGCCTTTTCTTTTAGGAATGAACTGTTGGATAAAGATCATTCCTGGAGAGAAGCTCTTTCTTTTTGAAGGTGTGGTCATAGGTAAGTTTTCTAAGCTGCAGTGCCAAAGTGGAGTGAAATAAGGGGGTCCTCCCCATTCTCAGAGGAGAAAGGGAGAGAGAAATGGGGGGAAGACATTTGGGTAAGTTAGGATGAGCAGGGAAAAGAGGGTTAATATTGCTATGTAAAGCAAATTAATAAATTAATTAATAAAATATTTAATTAAAAGGAAAATTAAACAAGAATAAGATGTAGAAGAACAACAGCAAAGATATAATCTTACTACAGAATGGAGAAAAATTAAAACAATTGATTCTATTGTAATTTAAAATTTCATATTTATCTCTGTTCTGAATGTTTCTGGATCGGGTAGGTTATTTGGGACTACCTTCCCACCCAGTTAGAAATGGAGGGATCCTTTATATTTGTATAAAATACATTCAGAGAAAATCCTGTACACAATTTGTAAAATAACTCATTAGAGTTGTTTTGTTGATTATCCACATTAAAGAAATATGTTCATGTGTTCAGACATAATTAGAGGAGGAACATCCTAGGAATGCATATCACTGTTGTCATGTCCTATAGAGCACATAGTACAAGAACACTTAATCTTGGATTTGGGGAAGTGGAAAGGGTTGCATCTGTGGGAAAACTTCAAGGAGTAGAAGAATGAGAAACTGAAGTCAGGAAGTATTGCATGAGAGAAGAATTAAAAAAATAGAACACTTACTGTTTCTTCTGTCTTAAATTATGTGGGTGAGGGAGTGTGTGCTAGGATTTCAGGATTCTGCGGTCATGTCACCTTGGTCTCCTTCTTCTTCATAAGTCTCTAGAGTTAATCACAGTATATATTCAAAAAACGAGAATTTCAGGGACTCTCGATATTTTATTGGTACTTGTACTTCAGAGGTGGATTCTTGTTTTCATTTCTTTGATCAGTAGTTTACTTACTTCAATGTGGACGTATAAATGGTCTTAAAAATGGTGACTGAATCTCAATAGTATGTCATGTATGTTCTTGGTCAGAATATAACTGGTTGGGAATTAGGTCCTCTAAATACTGATGTTCAACCACCTCATTTAAAAGTTTCACACCAATACTTTGTTTCATCAATAGTGGTGTAGGATGATTCTCAACAAGATTCTGGGTAACAACACGACAGTGGATCAATTGCACTCAGCCTTTTGTGCAATTGTTCAATTCATTATTGTATTTCCTAATCTCAGAATTCTAATAATCTAGTCAGTTTCATCCCCAAAGTTTCATCAGACACTGCTGGTGTGACTGCAAGTTTCCAGAGCACCCTTAGCCTCAGCCTCAGCCTCAGAAGAACATATTCTCTTTTCCTTTTTTAAAGTGGCTTCACGTCCGTGATCCCATTAGCATGGAGCCCGCAAACAACACTGCTTCACTGCTTCATAAGAGAGCAGTTTCTTCCTGTCAGCAGCAACAGTCATTGAGAGAGGAGTGACTCTGGGAGGCTTTGTAGGCAGCAACAGCACCAGCAAATGCATAAACTGTGAAACTCATAGAACTCTATGGGAAGGTCTTATGAGAGATGGAACTAGGTTGGGAGTTGCCATCAGCTGGGATGTGAACACTGATTGAGGAGATTTTCATGGACTGAGGATACATAATACACATACAGAGGAATCATTACTCGAGATGTTGAAGTACAATGTGGTTTGTACCAAGAGAAAAATTTATAAAAGTTGAATTTGTTGAAAATGATAACTAACTGTACTCTTTTAAGTCCTCTTTATTTAAAAGAAGGAAATGATTACTATTTGAGTTTCCAAGGTACCTATCAAAAGTGACAATATTTCAGAGTAGCTGCAGTGTATCCATCACATGTACAAAAATCAAGAGTATAAAAGACAGATTATTCAAAGTTCCCAAGCGTTTTTTTCTGAAATTACAGCCGCTTAGTTTCATAATTACAGAGAACTTTTTATTTATAAGCATATATAGTGATATAAATATATTTTAATATATATAGACTATACAAAAATATGTACCATTCTGCCTGATCAGAAGAAACAACTGAATAGCTTAGAATATTATTGGGAGAAAACAATTTGTACTAGTGTGTACATCTTGCATGTTTAGTAGAGCATACAATGGAAAGTGACCTGTAGAGAATTTACCTGGATGGACAAAATAAAACTAAACAATCTCCCTTATCAAAGCTAAAGAAAACAAATCAAACAAACGCTTCCTCTAATGTGAAAACAGGCTGTGCAGCAAGAGCTTCTGAAGTGGCTGCAACTGATTTTGGGTAGTTCTTGTGGGCCTCAGTGCCCCCTGCTGGTCCTGAACATCCTTTAGAGTAGAAAGGTTTTAGTTCAGGCTTACACTCAACTTCCCTCACTGTGTCTCTCGCACAGTAGTAGGTGGCTGTGTCCTCAGTTTGCATATTGTTCAGTTTTAAGAAAACTTGGTTCTTGGAGGTGTCTCTGGTGATGCTCAGTCGGGATTTGAGAGCTGAACTGTATTCTGTGCTTCCAGAAGTTTTTATTACTCCCATCCACTCCAGACCCTTTCCTGGGGGTTGGCGAACCCAGTGTACATACTCATCAGTTATGGAGAACCCAGAGACTGCACAGGTGAGTGACAGGGTCTGTGAGGGCTGTACCAGGTCAGGACCTGACTCCTTCAGCTGCACCTGGGACAGGACACCTGTGGAAAAGCAACATCACCATTAGTTCTACATCTCCTAGCTGACATGTCTGAGTCCCTCTCCTGAAAACCTGAGACACTTACAGTTTGGAAAGGTAATCAGGCAGAGGAGCAGCACCAGGATAGCCATGCTCTGAAAGAGGCTCAAGTGAGAAGGAGATGAGACTTCTCAGCTAGGCCTGGGCTTTCAGCATGAGCCTGAGGGCTGCTTTGCATTGGGGGAGGTTCTTGATAGAATAAAAGGAAGCACTCAGAAAGGTTTCCAGTGTTCCCCCCAGATTACAGAAATTTGTCTTGTAGATTTTAGACAACCAGAGAGATAAATAAGGAACACTTTTTAAGTACTGTCTGGAAAATTGTAGATAAACAGGAAATTGTAGGATTCAAGCTGTGCAGGGCTATGAAAAAAAATATGGTTATGTTTACAGTAAATGAAACCACATTCATAAAGTTCAGGCACAATGGTGCCCCATGTCCTATGCACATTTTTATAACTCTGCATATTCTAGAAGAGTATTTATGATTGAACTGGGCTCCTGGTGCTCAGACATCCTGCTTAAGGAACTATTTAAATTATTCTTAAAGTGTCTGTGAAGCCAGATCTATTGCTATGTCAGTAGGAAAAGAGAATGCATGGAAGCCCATCCCAGACATTTAGTCCAACTGATCTCACATATTTATCTGAAAGAAGTCCCAAGAGTTCAATTTATATCCCATCTCACTAGGCTATGACTATTCTCCTTGCTACTTAGGAACATGGCAGTTGGGGACTAGCTTATGTAACTTTGATTTCTGTCAGTCTGCATTTTCTATGTAGTTTTCTCTATTTCTATCCCCTTAGCTTACAGCACACAAAACCCCAAATTCCTAAATGTGATTATTGCATTGGCGAGGGATGAGAGGTCAATTGTTCATAACACTTGAGCATAAGCAGTAACATGTTGCTAGGCTTGAGTTTTGTACACTGAAGTGTAAAATAAGCTGAATAAAAATATTATGGCTAGAAGTAGAGGAGAAGGCAGGCATGAATAGGGGTAACCTGTACCTTGAAGTGTTGCCCACCATAGAGAACAGATATTGTAGAGCTTTTCTCCATGCCTCGGTAATATAAACCCCAGGGAAGAAAAGTAAAGGGCTGGATCCAAACTGCACAACCAGGCCAAGAAACTGTGGATCTATTACTTGTAATTGGAGTCCTTACATTTCATATTCCTGGTTTTGTTGTGCATGACCTTGGTATTCAGAATGACAGTGATGTAGTCAGGTTTTAACATCAGGAAGATAGCTATCTTGTGCAATTTGTCATGGACTTAGTGTATGTCCACTTAAGCAAATTTTGGTATTTATTTATTTATTTATTTAATATTTATTTTTGTTTTGGAAGTTTTGATTTCAAGATAGTTTTTCTTTGTGTTGTCTTTGCTCTCCTGGATCTCTATCTGTCCAGGAACTCACTGTGTAAACTGTCAAGTGTTATGGATGAGAAACAATAAACTGCTTTAGAACTTATGTGTCTTACTTGTTTGTACAACCATGACTATTAAGGAAACATTTGAAGTTCTAAAAAAAAATTGTTACATTAAATCTCTAACCCCAATAAGCCCAGTCAAATAAAACACAATTCAATAATTATGAATGCAAGCTGCATGCCTAGATTGGGCAGATTTACAATTACATTAGTGTATTTGGAATCTATGAGACCTTATAACTTGAGGTTTCTCCAGGTCACGAGCTTCTCCTCCATCCTCCTTTCTGTCTTCCCTCTTCACTTCTCCTCCCTCAAATCTTTTATCTCCACCTTCCATACTACTGTCCAATCACTGACTCTAGCCTTTATTTTACAAGTTAAGACAGGGAGAAGGTTCAAAAGAAGTCATGGGTATACATGATTCACTCATTGTCTGCAGCTTTTCCCTGGAGAGTGGAATTAGCATCAGAATACAAGACCAGGGCTATCCACAGCAAAAAAATGAGTATTAATAGTTAAGCTTGGTATTGTTTTAAGATCAAGGAATAAGAACTTTGGCAGCAGTAGCTGATAGGACTCTAATTTTGAAGTGAGGCTGGTGATTAAAGTTATGATTTTATTAGACTGCAACTTTCTAATAGGATTTAATAAAAATCATTGGTGAGTAGATTTGAGTTATGTGGATTTAAAGTAGAAATGACTGATTATTTTTGCATAGAAAGCTCCCATACACATGAAAGCTGAAGAACTCTCTACTCAATGGTAACTTGCTGAGGGAAGAAATAAATAGAGAAATTAAACACTTTTTAGAATTTATTGAAAATAAAGGCACACCATACCCAAACTCATCAGACTCAATGAAAGCAGGGATAAGAGCAAAACTCATATCTCTGAATGCATCCATAAAGAAATTGGAGCATACACTACCAGCTCAACAGCACATCTGACAGCTCTAGAACAAAAAGAAGCAAATGCACACAAGAGGAATAGAAGGTAGAGAATAATCAAACTCAGGGCTGAAATCAACCAAGTAGAAACAAAGAGAACTATACAAATTTAAAAAAGTAGAAACAAATAGAACTATACAAAGAATAAACAAAACCAGGAGCTGGTTCTTCAAAAAACATCCACAAGATAGATAAACACTTAGCCAGACTCACCAGAGGTCACAAAGACAGTATCCAAATTTTACAAAATCAGAAGTGAAAAGGGAGTTGTAAAAACAGAAAGGGAACAAAACTGGAACATCTAGATGAAACATATGATTTTCTAGACAGGAACCATGTACCCAAGGTAAATCAGGATCAGATAAACCATCTAAAAAAAAAATCACATAACCCCTAATGTAATAGAAGTAGCTATTAAAAATCTCCCAACCCAAAAAAGGCCAGGACCAGATGGTTTTAGTGCAAAATTCAGTACTTCTCAAATTATTTCACAATACAGAAACAGAATAAACACTACCCAATACATTCTAAGAAGTCACAGTTACACTGATACATAACCCACACAAAGACCCAACAAAGAAAAGAGAATTTCAGACCAAATTCCCTCATGAATATTGATAAAAACTACTCAGTAAAATTGTTGCAAACAAAATCTAAGAACACATCAAAGTGATCATTCACTATGATCAACTAGATTTCCTCCCATAGATTCAGGGTTGGTTCAATATGTGGAAATCCATCAATGGAATCCACTATATGAACCAACTCAAAGAAAGAAACACATGATGATCTCATTAGATGTTGAAAGCTTTTGTCAAAATACACCTCACCTTCATGGTAAAATTCTAGGAGAAATGAAGAATTCAACTTCTATACCTAAACATAATAAAAGCAATATATATCAAACCAATACCCAACATCAACTAAATGGAAAAAACTTGAAACAATCCCACTAAAACCAGGGACAATACAAGGCTACTCAATCTCCACCTATCTGTTCTATATAGTACTAGAAAATCTAGCCAGAGCAATTAAGCATCAAAAGGAGTTCATAAGCATACAAAGAAATGTATCACTATTTTCAGATGACATGATAAAGTAAATAAGTGACCCCCCAAAATATCCACAAGAGAACACCTACAGCTGATAAACAACTTCAGCAATTTTATATTCAGCAAAGTAGCTGGATATAAAATTGACTCAAACAAAAGAAGTAGCCTCCCTAACTCAAGAATAATTGCTTAGAGAAAAAAAAAACCAATTAGGGAAATGAAATACTTCACAATAGTCACAAATAATATAAGTCCCATTTTAATTATTGTTAATCTTAGATCCTGAGCCATTGGTGTTCTGTACAGAAAATTCTCCTGTGTCCATGAGTTCAAGGCTATTTCCCACTTTCTACATTCACTGTATTTTCTTTTATGTTGAGACCCTTTACTTGGACTTGAGCTTTGTACAAGGTGGTAACTATGGATTAATCTGCATTCTTCTACAACCTGACTAGACTAAGCATTATTTGTTGAAATTGCTTTCTTTTTCCACTGCATTATTTTGGCTTCTTTGTCAGAGATCAAGTGCCCATAGGTGTGTGGCTTTATTTTTGGGACTTCAATTCTATTCTATTCTATTCTATTGATCAACATGTCTGTCTCTGTAACAATACCATGCAGTTTTGTCATCATTTCTCTGTGGTACAGCCAAAATTGTTCTTGTCTAAAAAAATGCAGGGGAAAAATATAAAATAGAGATTGAAGGGAAAGCCATCCCATGACTGCTTCAACTGAGGATCCATCTCATGTGTGGGTACCAAATCCTGACATTATTACTGATGGTATGCTGTGCTTGCATACAGGAGCATAGCATGACTGTCCTCTCAGAGGCTCTAGCAGCAGGTGAATGACACAGATGTAGATACTTACATCCAATTATTGATTGGATTGAGTTTAGGGACCCCTGTGGAAGAGATAGGAGTAGGATTGAAGGAGATAGTGAGGATGACAATCCCAAAGGAAGATCAAAAGTATCAACTAACCCTAAACCCCTAGGAGTTCCCAGAGTCTAAGCCACCAAAAAAAGAACATGCCTGGGATGGTCAGTGGCCCCAAGCACATATGAAGCAGTGGACTGCTTTTCCTGGCCTCAGTAGGAGAGGATGTACTTAATTCTGTAGAGACATGATGCCCCAGGGAAGAAAGATATAGAGTGGGGGATAATGTGGGAGTGGGTGAGAGGAGGTATGTGGGTGGTCGTGTGGGTGGGTACTCCCTCAGAGATAGAGAAGCGGCAAAAGGGGTGAGGAATACTTGGATGTGCAAACAGAAAGGTACGCAACATTTAGAATGAAAATAAATAAAACAAACAAAAAGAATGTTGACCATTTTGTTAAAGACTTCCAGGCCATTTGGATTCCTTATTTGAGGAATGTTAGGATGAGTAGGAGAAAGAAACTGATATTGGTATGTAAAGGAAATTAATAAATTAATTAATTAATAAAATACTTAATCAAAATGGAAATGTTTAGAAGAACAACAGCAAAGTTATAATCTTACTACAAACGTGAAGAAAAATAAAAGCAATTGATTCTATTGTATTTCTGAACTTCATTTTTACCTCTGTTCTGAATGATTCAGGATCAGCTACTTTATTTGGGACTACCTTCCCAATCAGTTGAGGAACAGAGGGATCCTTTACATTTGTATAAAATACATTCAGAGAAAACACTGAACACAATT